AGGTCTGAGATGTACTGAGGGGCCAGCCCATTGAGCGATTTAAAAACAAACGATAACATCTTAAAATGAACTCTAAAATGGACAGGAAGCCAGTGGAGGGAAGTCAGAATAGGTGCGATGTGCCCATGCTTGCGTGTTCCTGTAAGCAGCCGAGCCGCAGCGTTTTGTACAAGCTGCAGACGTGCCAGCGAGGTCTTGTTTAGGCCGGCATAAAGTTCCCCTGCATTACAGTAATCTAGACGAGTAGAAACAAAGGCATGAATTACACGCTCAAAGTCTAAAAAGGATAAAACCGGTTTAATTCTGGACAGGAGCCTCAAGTGATAAAAACTGGACTCAACCACAGAGTTTATCTGTTTATCTAATTTAAAAGTACTGTCGATTTTGACGCCCTGATTATTGACCATGGGTTTTGCATACGGTTGCAGGGAACCCAGGTCAATGGAAGGGACATCACCATTTGGTCCAAACACAATGACCTCCGTTTTGCTCTCATTTATATTTAAAAAGTTTAGCGCCATCCAGGCCTTTATATCATTAAGACAGCCAACCAGTGGCATCAGAGAGCTGGTGTTTTTTTTTTTTTTAGGGGTAGGTATATTTGCTAACAGCACAAACAAGTTGCCTGACTCCTAACAACATTCAAACTAATAACATTGGCTAAGGAACTCCAATGAGACCAATTCTAAAGCAATTGGATGCATGATCTCATATAATACAATACAAACCTTTATCAATTATGTTACTCTACTATAATGTAATAAAGATAAATATGTTTTATTAACTGATGTTAATTGTATATTGATCTATTTGGAGTTATTTTATATTGTTACTCTTCTCTCTGACAATTAGTGTGGTTTTCACCACTTCGAGCCAATCAAAAGCTTCCAGACACTTTTAATGACAGTTCTCATCATAATTGAGAACATCTTCACATGAAAGTGTTTAAAAAGTTGTCCAGCTCACTTACATTCTGGAAATGTTTAAAAAAGTGTGTAATTTTAAACATTGAGCAAGTATTTATATATATTTTCAAAGTATCTTTTTTATATACAGAGGGACCTTATCTAAGTTTATTTTGTACTGAAAAAGGGTGTTCACAAAATAAAATAACTTGAAGGAAAGGGATTTAATTGCCATTTTAAGAGTTTTAAGAGCATAATTGGTCAGTTTTGGGGATAATATCACTTCACGGAATTATTATAGCCTGCAAAATCAAGACATTTACGTTTTCATACTATCCCATGCCTACCAATAACACTTATCGACACATTAAAAACTGCTTGTTTATGACATGCAAAGTGTTTTTTTTAATTTAGTTTCCTCAACGAACCAGCAGCGACAAATGTGCTAAATATGTTGATTTTACATATATTTATATTTCCTATTTTATGGCAGCTAGCTGTTTTTTTTTTTTCAATCGATAAAATATAACGCCTTGCCAATGCCAAGAATAAAAGTCTCTAACCCAAGTTGCTCAAGAACCCTGGGACCACACCTCATATTCAAACCCTCCTCAGCGGCCCCTCCCTGCCTTTAATAACGAACTCAATGAATCGGCACTTATCTTTTGGAACCAGAGATATCTGGGGTGGAGGTCCTGGAGGAGGGGAGGGAGGGAAGGAGGGGGTGTCCGGTAAAAAGACCACTGTATCTAGACAAGAGGCTATATGACCTCAGCTCCTCACCGAGACACAGCAGGCAGCCTCAGCCTCTCAAACACACAATAGCCTCCTCAGTGCACGGATACAGAAGCATGGAGCAAGGACCTTACAAGTACATCAGGGTGAGGCCGGCGGAGAAAATGTTTCAGCATTATATAGAAAACTAGTTCTAGATGAGGATGATAATGAGTTTGGACCATTGTATCTTTAAGGAATTTGGCAGACTGTGAGTTTAAACCTTTCTTTTTTTGTCCCGGCAGGATGGAAATGGCAAGGTTAGTCGTGTCTTCCGGATTGGAACCCGCAAGAGCCAGGTACAGTTCTACATTAATTAACCAGAGCTTAACTTTGATTGCTTATTTTTTATGAATATATTTAAAAAAGAGAGGGGCTTTTGCATCAGTGTATATTTAAATGTTTGAACATGAGCCTAAGCCAGTTAAATGTGAGTTATCTGATGTAAAGATACAGCAGAGCAAGAAGTCTGGAGCTCCTCCCCCAGAGATAACGTAGCTCAGCCTCAACAATGTCTTTTTAAGATAACATGATCTGACTGTCACTGTGGATGGCTATTTGAAATATATCAGCTAACATGTTCTTCTATCCCAGTTGGCTCGCATCCAGACTGACAGCGTGGCAGAGAAGCTGAAGGAGCTGTACCCTGAACTAAACCTGGAAATAGGTAAAAACCCAGCCTTTATTCTATATCAAATGACCCTGTAGAGGTGTGGGCACATTTGGCTTGAATGTAAGACGTAAGACTCTGTGGAGATAAAATAAGATTTGTCCCCAGCTAATCTTACTCACTACTTCATCCAGCCTCCTAAACAAATGTATGCCCATTAGTGAAATTCCCTTTCATCAGGCTGTCCCAGCACATCCCTTCTTAATGCTCAGTCTCAATCCTACCTTAAAGAGCTCATAATCAGCAACCAGCTTTCTATCAGGGAGGCAGACAGCATCCTCACATTAAAGACTAGGATTATAGTTAAGGCTTGTTAAGGCTTCCCTAGAACTTCCTCCAGTATCCTATTTGTTGGTATTTTATTATCTTTTACCCTTTTCTTATATTCTACATTCTAACCTGTAATTTAAATATATGTTGTAATTTTATCTTGTCTTTTTACACTGTCATTCATATTTGTTGATCTATAAAGCCTTAGTTGTTTCTTGACATTGGGCTATATAAATACAAACTTTTGATTTAAAATACACACTCTGTATTAACAGTGTGTTATGTCATCATTGAATGCTGACTCCTCACTACTCTTACAGCGATCAACAACTGCTTCATTATTAAAAAGCATTTCCTTCAATCAGCTAGGCTAAAAACCTAAACAACTCTACACAATTATATTAAAGTCTGCTCTTATTTTGAACAGAAACCTTTATATGTTATGATCCCCTAAAATAATAAGTATGAGTATTTTATCTGAAAAGTTGTGAAAGACCTGTGGACATGTGTTTAATGAGACAGTACTGGTGTTTCTGCGAGTTATATCTGGTTAATCAAATGTCTTCTCTCTTCCAGTTGGCATGTCAACATTAGGAGACAAAATCCTGGACACAGCTTTATCCAAGGTGAGGCTTTTCATGGGGCTTTACATCAGCACACAGAACATTCTAATTTCTAGTTTACATATTAATCAAATAATCCCCAAAACATGCAGACTTAAAGCAGTCAATATTTAAATGACATATAGTACCAGTGTTTCCCCTATATACAAATAGTGGCGGTGCAGCGCCGCTGCTGAAATATGCGTGCCGCTGCTAGGGGGCGCCAGCCAAGTACCCAAAAAATTTTTTTTTTGATTGTTATGTGGATTTGTAGTATTTGTGTTACTGTATGTTCAATAAAGGTGTATTTTTGCTAAATGTTGAGACATTGCCACTGTATGTACTAGGCAGGGCCGATTTTTGGCATAGGCGGTCGCCTAAGGCGCCAGATCTGGGGGGCGCTACGCTGGTAGCTCTGGGAGGGAAAACATTTTTTTGACCGTTGGCGTTCATCCTAATTTTTGGCCTTGATGTAACAACATTCATAATTAAGTAAATGTAACACCCTTTTCACCGCGGTTACACCTTTCATTTGCCCTGTACGGTGGGCGCTGCAAGTGATGAAAGTTGGGGATGTTGGCTTATCAGGCGCCCACAGTTCACAGCCAAAGTGCGAGCGAGGAGAGAGAGAGAGAGCGAGCGAGGGAGAGAGAGAGAGGGCGCTCCGGTACCGGCGCTGTTGTTATTAGAATCTGGTGCTAGCTGTGCTAACGGATATAAGAAGTAGATGTTTCTACAACCAGGGTGGAGGAGAGCCCTCCTGTCAGACTGAGAGGCTCAGTGAGGTAAAGGACTTTCTGAGTGTTCCATCCATCCATCCAGGGAGGCGCCCAGGTGGCATCCTAACTAGGTGCCGGAACCACCTCAACTGGCTCCTTTCGTCGAGAAAAAGGAGCGGTTCAACTCCGAGTCCCTCCCGGATGACCGAACTTCTCACCTTATCCCTAAGGGAGACACCAGCCACCCTGCGGAGAAAACCCATCTCGGCCGCTTGTACCCGCGATCTCGTTCTTTCGGTCATGACCCATCCTTCATGACCATAGGTGAGGGTAGGAACGAAAATGGCCCGGTAGACAGAGAGCTTTGCCTTCTGGCTCAGCTCCCTTTTCGTCACAACGGTGCGGTAAAGCGACTGCAGTACCGCTCCCGCTGCTCCGATTCTCCGACCCATCTCACGCTCCATTGTTCCCTCACTCAAGAACAAGACCCCGAGATACTT